AAGAGAGGTTGAGGAAGAGAAGAAGAGAGATAGCCATAGGAGGTTCTCCTCATTTATAGATCAAGTTCCATTAGAGGAGTAAGCAAAAGAAGCGGTTTTAGCTTCGAAATTTTTGCGAGGTTTAGGAAGAAGAAAAATTTCCAAAAGGGATTATAGTCCTAAGGTACATTTTTTAGGAGTAATGGTCCACCAAAGCTCCTATGTATGAGAAGTGCGGGAAGCACTATCTTAGATAGTGCTAGCTTTATTCCAAGTGTGTTAAGATGGGCCATATAGCAACAAATTGCCTTGAGAGGGCAAGATGGGTGTAGCTAATGACTAAAGAACTACAGTTTCAAGCAATGTATTTGCTGTGACTCAGGAGGAGACCAGTAGTTCTCTAAACCTTATTAGAGGTACGGTTATTCTTCATGGACATAACATTGATGCATTGTTTGATTCGAGAGCTACCCACTCCTTTGTGTCTAATTAATGTGCAAAAAGATTATCTTTATCTCTGTATAAAATGCCTTATGACAAGAAAGTGACTATGTCAATGGAGCGTACTCAATCAAGACTGCCCATACATGTATGATTGTTAGGTTAAAGTTTGGAAATAGAGTCACCTCCATTGACTTAATCTATCTATCAATGAAAGGAATTGACAAGTTAGGGTGGACTAGTTGTCGATGCATAATGCCACTTTGGATTGCACTAGGAAGATGATCTCTTTGTCGAAGTTCACAGCCATTGCAGTTATCCCTAGTTCATCAAATTTCTTATTGGTTGTGCAAGCAAAGAAGTGTGTTAAGCAAGGTTGTCAAGACTACATGGTGCAAGTAGAGGAAGATAGGGAATTTGAAAAGATTGAAGTAGTGAATGAACGTGATGCGTATCTAGATGATGTTTCTAAGTTACCATCAAGGAGAAAGGTGGAATTCTCAATTGAATTTGTACTAGGCACTAGCTTGTTTCTAAGGCTCCTTTCAAAATGTCTCCATTGAGCTGGAAGAACTCAAGAAGCAAATTGAAGAGTTACTTGTGAAGGGTTCATCTGATTGAGCATGTCGCATGATATTCTCCAGTCTTTTTGTTAAAAAGAAAGATGGGAGTATGAGTTTGTGTATCAACTACACAGGTAGCTAAACAAGGTCACTATCAAGAACAAATATCCATTGACGCGAATTGATGACTTGCTAGACCAGCTTATAGAAGCTTTAGTATTCTGCAAGATTGATTTGAGGTATGGGTATCACCAGTTGAGAGTAAAGGTGGAGGATGTATCTAAGACCATTTTCTGGACCTATGATGACCACCATGAGTTCTTGGTGGTTTCATTTGGATTAACCAATGCACCTGCAATATTTATGGAATATATGAACAAAATCTTCCAACCGTGTTTGGATCAATTTGTAATGTTTTTTATTGATGATATTTTGATTTACTCCAAGAGTGCGAAGGAGCACTAGGAGTAACTTCGAGTTTAACCAATTTGAATCTAATTTGAATTTATGAGTGATTTGATATAATTTTGTAAGTTAAAAATATAAAATCGATCAACATAAAGAATCAACCAGCGAGTTTGACAACAAACACCATTAATTGCTAGTGATCATCATTATCAACCAATTTTTAATTCTAAAATATTTTTAAATTAACTTAATCAAACATATTTTTTAAAAAAAAAGGACACTACCAAACAGGCCCTAAATTTATAGTTTTGTACTTTAAAATTATAGAATTGAGAGGAAGCCATCGAATTGAAAAACTATTAACGTCAATGCTAGTAGAGTAGATCACAAGAAAAAATAGAAATTTAATAATAATGTTGGCATTTAAAAATTATTATATATCAGATAAATTAAAAATAAAAGTGTAAGAGATAAAGACAAAGATAATAAAATTCGAACGAAATTGATGTGTGCTTGTGCGAGGAGGGACGGTTGAGGGGACTTTCGTGGGGTGGGGTTAGTATATTTGTTGAATTTTATTAACTTGCTAACCTTTTATAGTTTTATCTATGTGATTTTTTTGTGTAAGATAAAAATATTTGGGGTCTCCCATAAATATATATATATATATATGTATTCGGGGTCTAATTTATATATGTTAACTTTCAATAATATTGGTAGAATAAATGGGTAGCAAAAAATCATAGTTCTATAATAATTTCAATATTTAAATTTTAAACTATAGCGCTCAACTTTGTTCAAATTTCACGAATAAATTATTGTATATAAGATAAAATTAAAAATAAAGATACATGACAAAATAAAAAACCAAAGATAATAAAAATTTAATGAAATTAACTTTTTTTGCCAGAATGAAATAAGTTAAGATGACCAAAAAAAATTAAACATTAAACAGTTTTGAAAATCATATAATCCCTCTATAGAAAAATATAAGGCATTTTTAGCCAAATTTTATTCCTAATAAATTAATCATTTATTGTTCAAACTATTAAATTTTTTATATTTATCATTATTTAATAAGTGTTTCACTTCAAAATAAATTAAAATATTTTATTTACTAAGTGCATTTTTGAAAAAAAAATACACATTAATTACAACTTAAAATATTAAAAATGAGTTATATATTTTTTTTTAAGGGAAGGACTAATAATTCATTATGGTATTAAATAGTGCTTTGGGGATTGCATATATTTTCGTTAATTCGTTAGTGTAGAATCAAGAACACAAGAAAAAAGAAATACAAATAGAACATAAAGCAAATACCGAATAGGGGACATTAACTATGAAATGGACACAATCAAAACTTATACTCACAGTTTTTTTTTTTTTTTTTCTCTTGGAGGCTTCAAAGCTGTTTGATGATATCTTGGACTGAGAAGTCTCCCCCCCCCCCCCCCTTTAATACTTTTGTTAATTTGCAGGAGAAGCATTCAAAGTAAGGCAAAGCTACAATGAGGAATCCACATAAGCAGAAACCAGGCACACCAACTGCAAAATAAATGGTAATTTTATCAATAAGGCACGATATTCTCTTTGATCCTGTTTATAAATCAATTATAGTGTGTTTCACTGAAATTAATGAAAATTTTAAATTTCATTAACCTTGTCTTAAAATTTAACAAGTTTTTTACTTTTACTCCTAATAAATATTCTTAAATCTCATTATTAGTATTTTTTTTTAAAGAATTTAACAAAAGCAAAAATGTAAAGAGAAGTATTAAAAATTGACAAATGTCTTATAAATAGGATCAAATTTTTCTTTTCTTTCTGTCTTATAAATAGGATCAGAGGAGTAATACTCTAATTCATAATCATATCATGAGATTTCCAACTAACATATTTAAAAATATGTACTTTTAATTTTTATTTGAAAAAAAATAGTAGAGATCGACGAATTAAAATTCAGAACAGACGTTTCTGGTTTTTTGCTTAGAATTCTGATTTCAAGGGAAGATAAGTACGCTGCTGAAGAGCTGATGACATTTCCATCTTCCGCTCAAACTAGAGCTAGAAAGGCCAACGGCTACCTTAGTCGAGTCAGTGATCCCTTGATAATAAGTAGAAGAAAAAGAGTTAAGGTGATTTTATTTATTGATTGATTTTTTAAAGGAGAAGGATTTGAATTTTTGACCATTAATCCCAATTATTGAGACAATTTTAGGTATAAACAGCTCTTTTTAAGTTACATATAAAGATCAGTATTTAATTTAAGTTACAGCATGATTAAAGGTCAGAACCATATATAGTGGAATTGATGTTTGGCTTCAACTCTCAGCACTGAAGTAGAAGAAATATATATACTTACCATATAAACACAGCGATTTATGAAACAAAAAGTGAAGTTACTTCTTCTTGCAGATTGAAAATTGCTTGGCGATGCTTTCAACAAGAGAGTCTCATTTCTCTGTTTTTACTTTCAAATCTCCCTTCTCAGTTTTTCTGTTCGAAGCATTTTAAAAAAAAAATATTGTAAAATGGGAAAGCAAATAGCAAATCAAAGAACGAACTTATAGGATGATGAATCAACTTAGGTACCAGGAAACGAGAGCACGCAGAGCACAGAGGATAATTTCAGCGAAGGAAGAGAGCTATTAGAGACTTAAGTGTATGGGATTTGAAGTCTTAGATGTCGATGGTCATAAATTTAAAAAATAATAATAATAAAATCTCTCTAAAATATATATAAATGACAATATAATTTTTTAAAATGTTATAATTTTATTAAAGTTTTTAAAAAATTTTCTATCATTAATAAATTTATATGAATTATTAAATTGTCTTTGTTGAAAATAAAATAATTAACAAATTTTATTTAAATAATCACAACTTTTCTTTTAAATTCTCAATAATGTAATAATAAATTACAACTTTCTATGATAAATTTTTAATTTATTATTTTATTATTATGAATATAAAAAAATTTTAATTGTTTAACTAAAATTTGTGAATTATTTAATTTTTAACAAAAATAATTTAATTATTTATATAAATTTATTAATGATAAAAAAATTTATAAAAATTTAAATAAAATTATGATATTTTAAAATTTCAAATAGTCATTTACTTATTTTAAAGAGATTTTGTCATAATTTTTCTTAAATTCAACTTTTCAAGTCTTTTTTTTTAAAAAATATATTATTCATTTGTTGATGAGCTCTATGTATTATCGTGCTGTCAATTGGCAGTATTATTGAACGTCTGAATATAATAATATGTACTCTCATGTCTCAAGGAAACCTATGGAATTAAAAAAAAAAACAAAAAAAAGAAACTCAGAGTCCTGCCAATGGCTGCCATTAGCAGCATTATTGAGGGTCGCCATCCAATACCTATATAAATTTGGGATGGGATAATGAGCAGTACTTGAACAATGTTTGCCACGATGCAATTTTTCCAAGGCATTAATTAATGCTCCTTCGTCTTCTGGTATTTCAGCTAGCGTGTTCCACAAGCATTCTTTCGGATTCAAATTTTCCTCTTCGATCACCCGCCCATTTCGTTCATTTATTCTTTACTATCTAACTAGAACATTCGATAACATTTGTCCTTATTTCATACCGCACCTCTCCTGCTCTATTTTCTCAAGAAGCAAAGCCAAGGGATGGAAATCTAAACCTTGGAGTTGCTCTGAGATCGTTCTTCCCCGTGGAGGTTGATGAGGAAAATCTTTATCCCTCAATTTTAAAGAAACCTCAGCCTCCCTCCTCTCACTAATCTATTTTCTTCGCTGGCTCCTTTGAGGTCACAAGTCTCGCCTCCTTCTCTTTTGTTTTTGTTCGCTACTGGGTTCTTTGATTGGGGTCGTGCTCAGTCAACCTTAACAGTCGCTTCATTCCTCTCCTCTTCATACCTCTTCCCTGTGAGTATTTCTCCCTGAGCCTTTCTTTCTTCTCTGTGGTTGTTTTTCTTTTCTTTTATATGTGACCACCCTCAACATTGGAGGTTTGAAAAATTGAGTGTCTCTGGTTTTGGGTCCGATCAATGTGATGATGCAGATGAAACAGAGAAAGCTGAATGATGAGATTTTTCAATTGGCTCTCCTTCTTCATCAACATAGTCTTTAGCGGCTGTGATCATTCTGGTGTACTTTTTCTTTTTTTTCTTATGGTTTGCACTGATATTGGTTTTTCTCTTTTTCCAGATTTACAAGCGCAGTCTTATGTTGGAAGAACTGAGAAATTCTGTTGCTGCCATTTGGAAAGGGTTGGTGAGTACTTCGACTTTGTATGATAGGCTAAAGTGAATTTTGATTCATATGTTAACATTGCAAGTGAACTGAATGAATTCATTTTCTTTGTTTTTCTTTTTCCTTCCAGGAAAGCATCCAATACAGTATTGTCACTCTAGTTTTGGATCAAGATTAAGCTTGTCTTTTTGATACAATGTGGGGAGGTTTTGCTTTCTCCTTCTTCATGCTTCTCTTTCTTGGAAATGATGTATTTGGAATTTTCTTCTACCTTAAAGATATCCCCAGAAAGATTATTGAAGAAAGAAAAGAGGCCCTAAAAACTGGCGTGGTCCTTATCCCTCAGAACTAAAACAATGGCTAGCAGCAGGCATGCACTATTTTTTTGTTTCACTTTGTTTGTAATAATAGCAGGCACTTTTTTTTTGTTTTCACCATTTACTCTATTAGATATCAACCGTGTAGCAAATTAGTATATTTTGCATGCAATAATTTCGTTAATTCTGAAAACATGTTATGGTACTTAAGTAGACCTGGTACTGATTTGGTCAAAAAAAAAAAAAGACCTGTTACTGACAGGTGGTTTCTTATTGGCAACGCTATTGATTCTTGGAAGTAAATACTATTATGTGAACGTCAGTAGACCTGGTACTGATTTGGTAAAAAAAAAAGACTTGTTACTGACAGGTGGTTTCTTATTGGCAACGCTATTGATTCTTGGAAGTAAATACTATTATGTGAACGTCACTAAGTATACATTCCATTTTTCAATATTTATTTCTCCTTTACAACTTTCCTTTTAATGAGTGCTTTTAGAGCAGTCTCTATGGATTGCTTTGGACTCTGACATGTAGATTTTCAATATCTATTAAATCAAAAATTTTTTTTTTTGACCAAAAATCAAAATTTTGTTGTTGGATGTGTGTCTTATTTAGGCATGGCTACATATGCAGGTTGTAATCCTCAGTTTGCTTCTCGAGAGATCTTCTGTGCCTTTTTAGTCACCACTTCATTGTTGTCAGGATGCCATTCTTTGTAGCATTATTGCCTTATAGGTTTTTATTTTATTTTTCAGATTAATATTTCTTAACAGATCTGTAGTTAGTGTTTAGAGATCTCTTTATCTTTTCTTTCAAAAGTTTTACTATGTAATTGTCATGGTGAATAATCTTTTTCCTCTTTATGTCTTATTGAGGATGCCATGACATTGCCGGCTATAGGAAGAAGTCACAAGTCTTGTCATGTAGATTTATTTATCAGTCATCATGGAAAATTGATATCCTATTGTAACACTTTACGATGGTAGTGGTAGACTTGTGGCTGTCATGTAGAAGATCTCAAGGTCACGTTTTCTATGTTTTTGCACAAATTCATGAAAATAAACAAATGAAGCCATCATAGACACAGGTAGATGGTTCTGCAATGATTGAGAAGGAAAGAGTAAATCAAGGTTGCTGTCATGTATATTTATTTACCAATTATCACTGCTCTCGAGTTGCTAGATGGCTATCATGTAGATTTATTTATCTGTCATGATAGAAAAGGCATGTGCTATTGTAACACTTAACTGTGACAGAGGTAGACATGCGGCTGTCATGTAGAAGATCTCAAAGCCGCACTTTGAAATGCTGACACAGATTCATCAAAACACACAAGTGAGGCCATGATGGTTATGTACTGATTGAGAAGGAAAGAGTAATTATTAAAGGAGCTTATGAAGTTTTCTGTGATCATTAGTACATTAGTTGAAGACAATACGCTATAAAATTATGTACTTAAGAATCTAATACCGTGTCCCTTTGTACCAAGTACAGCTATGGAAAGCATATCACTTAAATCTTATGGCTACGCCAGTCCTCCTATTAATGCTATATCAGAATATGTTAATTGTAGATTTGAGATGCTTGTATGTTTTTTAAATTCTTCTACTATGTGTATAGATAGGTTCTTATTGATCTTGCTTCCTTCCTCAGGATGTTATTTAAATATCAGTGGTTGTGTATTAGTTATTTAATTGTCATTATTGAGTTTAGCGCTTTTTTTTTTACCAGATTATTAAGTTCAGGTTGCAAAATGTACATTTACAAGATTCTGCCATGTTGCAAGTAAAGTCTTCATAATTACATTATTAGGCCTTTAACATGTCAAATGTCATGTGTCGTGTCTGTTGACTGTTGAGCATTTCATATTTCATGTTAATTTCTATCATCTTTTTCCTTGCCTTTAATCATTTCATTATTTTCATTCATTATAGTTAGCTATTTAAGTGCTACACATTAGCTAAGGGTATAATATAACATGCATGTAATGATCTTAAAAATAACTATATTTTGTTAGTACGTTTAATGACACATGAAACAAATAGACTTGTGGCCGACCACTTTGTTCGATTGGATAAAATTTGATGTCATGTTTTGTTATGCATGTGGTGTACGGTCTGTATTTGTATTTAGTCTCATAATTCAGAAAATATTTTGATATCCTTCATATTAGCTATAGATTTGTGCTTCTTGGTTCACATCATTTAGATTGTTTTGGACAAATGTGTGTAATCCCCAATTCTATGATGTCTAAAGGATATTTGACAACCATTTATTTCTCCTCTTGTATCTCATGTGAACTTTGGCAGCCATAAAATTTTTTTTCCAACATTTGTTGTCAGTAATCACCATAGTTATGCATGATTATTCTTAATATTATATGGTATGGACAACTATAAATCATGTTATTTTACTTGAATTCCTGAAATATAAGTCATGAAAATATTTTTTATTTTTAAGCACCAATCTAATGACTTGCCACTCTGTAATCAAGAGAACATCGTGATTTGGACTTCAGAGGGATGGACTTCTCAGTATATGATATTCTTTTGTAATTAACAGGTTCAACTCTCTCTCTCTCTTGCTGATATTACTTGTGCTGATTTTATTTGTATTTTGCAGAAATTTGGCAGGATGAATGATGTTAAGGTAACTGTCCTCTATGATTTTCTAGGTGACATTGTATTTTCTACAAGGTTATTAATTATAGAGGATACTTGCTTGTAGAAATTAGAAATTGGCACACAGTATTAAAATTTTTTTCCTTGTACTTCTTTTAAACTTGGTCAATAATATTTGACTTTAGTTATTTAAATTTTTTTATTTATGCTAAGCATTTGGTTTACTGTTGCAACATGTCAACGTCACATTAATGCATTGCTGTTGGTAAAGATAGTTTGGTGGTTATGAGTATTAAAATAATTCTTGGTAGTACAATAGTTGTTTTTATTTAAAAAATAGGATTTCATGGAAAGCTTTATACATTTGAGATGATGACTTAGTCCGTATGATCAAGTTGCAACGTGCCTTGACCCCATGAATTTGCCTATATTGTCTTTCCTTTGATGATGATTTATAGTTCATCTATGTTGTGAAGCATTTTTTGATGGTAGAATCATCATAATTCAAGCTTCTTTTACTGAACTAACTGAAGTTAATTCTTTTGCATGTTATAATAGAGTTAGAAGTGTCAAATCCTACCATCCTACCGATTACAATAGAGCTTATAGTGTCAAATCCTACCGACGAACACGAGACTGACAAAGCCAGAGAGGAATCCTCTAAAAATAAGGAAGGAGACCCAATGGAGAAGCATAAAGTTGTTTCTAGCACATAGATGTTTTTGAAGTTACTGTTGTAGATAACTCCTTTGACTATATGGAGTGGGAGTTTCAATTGCTAATTACTATTGGTTGTTATTTAAAAGACATGCATGTCTACCTCATATTATCCGAAAAAAATAATTTTTGTTATCATAATAAATTGATCTGATTAAATGCTCATGTAATTAATTTTCTTTTTAGTAGACCTTAGACAAACATTTTCAAAACAAAAATAGTGGATTTCATGCATGATGAAATCTTTTCTACAAGAAAAATTTGATCATATATGATATGAATATTGTGATTTTGAAACATTTTTCTTTCACTTATCAATACAATGGCTCTTAAAAAATTTTAATATTTTATATATTTAATGATGAAATTTTTTCCGTATTTAATGATGAAACTTTTCTCGTGCATCACGCGGGGCAAAATCTAGTTATTAATAAAAGCAAGTGGATGCCTGGCCTCACAAAAAAAAAACAAAAAAAAAAAGGCAGATGCCAATACACAGTTTGCCTCGCCCCTCCTTTTAAAATTATAAAGAAATTTTAATTGTAAGGAGTATTTTTTTTCTTACTTCCATAATCTTTATTATAAAGAAAATGATAATAAAATATTTTTAAAATATATAAATAATAATTTAATCCTTCAAAATGTCATAATTTTTTTAAAGTTTTTAAAGATTTTTTTATCATTAATAAATTTATATAAATTATTAAATTATTTTTATTAAAAATAAATGATTTACAATTTTTCTTCTTATAGTCATAAATTTTATTCTTATATTCACAATAATATAATAGTAAATCATAATTTTACATGTTAAATTTTTTATTTGTTGTTATATTATTGTGAATATAAAAAGAAAAGTTACGAATATAAAAAAAATTATGAATCATTTATTTTTAATAAAGATAATTTATTAATTTATATAAGTTCATTAATGGTAGAAAAGTCTTTAGGGATGTCAAGGAAATTATGACATTTTGATGAATCAAATTATCATTTATATATTTTAAAAAGATTTTATTGTCATTTTTTCTTAGTTATATAAGACAACTTGTATAAGAATTTTTAATCCTTATTAATTATAATTTTTTTAATATCATTCACGTAATTTTTTCGTTCAAAAATGTAAGTTATTTTTAATCGAATCTCACTCCCTAATAAAGTAGTTACTTTTTTTTAATTAACCTTATCTTTTTATATTTACTCTCATTAAACATCCTATAATAAATATAAAGTTATTATTAATAGGGGTGTTTTTGAAAAAAAATAATGATTACACCTCAAAAAATTAAAAATATCTTATATTATTTAACATTTAACTCTTCAAAAATACGTTATATCTTTAAAATGGAGGGAGTATGTAATTGAGCGAGGGCATTTCAGGTTAGCTTAAAAGAATTCGAACACATACCGTTTGATTAGTTATCTAATTCACGCAGATTAAAAAATAACAAAGGGATTTTCATTAACAGTAAATAACATTTCCAAAATAAGTAACGGAAATAAAATTCGGAAATAAATCTAACAAGAATGAAAATATAATTCAAAAAATTAGAAAAAGGGTTTACAATTTGAAATGTAATAATAAAAAAAAAAAAAGAGTTGTGCGGTTTGCAAAACTTTGAAAAGGAGCATTGGAGGACGTGGCTGGCGAGTTTCGAGAATAGTGGCAGAAAATTCGGATAAGGATGGGATATTAATTGATTAAGAATTTAAAATTTGGAAATTACGTTAAACACACGGTTAGGAAGAAATAGAATCCAATTCACTATTCTCGTCGTCCTTGCTACATGCCTTCCTCTTCTTTGTATCTGATGATTCTCTTGCTACTTCTAACTCCTTGCTTCTTTTGCCTCTTTTTTATTCTATAAATTCTGGCAATACAAAGGAGAGATAATAGATGGACGACGAGGTTATGAGAAAGATGGCTCACTTATAGCTGTTCCGCTTCCCAACTCAACAACGGG